CTCTATTAATGTGACTGTTTTGGGGTCCAATTTTTGGGTTGCTGAAATTATTAGACTCAAGCCTTAGCCTTTTACTTCTAGGGAAAGCTCTTCCCAGCTCAAAGGGTAAAGGTGGCCCCCAAACCATCAAATTTAAGATAACTTCTTTGCAAAAAAGTACGGGCAAACAGTCACGCAAAGGGGGGTGCCCACCAGGGGGGCAACACTAAAGTAGAGTTTGCAATGCTAAGTAAGTGCTAGGAATCTGAGGGTCAGCCTTGGTAATACTAAATTAGAGTTGGCAATGCTGAAGTAAGCACTGGGAATCTGAGGGTCAGCCATGGTAATACTAAAGTTGAATTTGCAATTCTAAAGTAAGTGCTAGGAATCTGACCTGCAATACGAAAATTAGAGTTGGCAATGCTGAAGTAGGCACTGGGATCTGAGGGTCAGCCTTGGTAATACTAAGGTTGAATTTGCAATACTAAAGTAAGTGCTAGGAATCTGAGGGTCGGCCTTGGTAATACTGAAGTAGAATTTTTGCAATGCTAAAGTAAGTGCTAGGAATCTGAGGGTCAGCCTTGGTAATACTAAATTAGAGTTGGCAATGCTGAAGTAAGCACTGGGAATCTGAGGGTCAGCCTTGGTAATACTAAAGTTGAATTTGCAATGCTAAAGTGAGTGCTAGGAATCTGACCTGCAGTACTAAATTAGAGTTGGCAATGCTGAAGTAAGCACTGGGAATCTGAGGGTCAGCCTTGGTAATACTAAAGTTGATTTTGCAATTCTAAAGTAAGTGCTAGGAATCTGACCTGCAATACTAAATTCGAGTTGGCAATGCTGAAGTAGGCACTGGGATCTGAGGGTCAGCCTTGGTAATACTAAAGTTGAATTTGCAATACTAAAGTAAGTCCTAGGAATCTGAGGGTCAGCCTTGGAAAAAACAAAGTTGAATTTGCAACGCTAAAGTAAGTGCTAGGAATCTGACCTGCAATACTAAATTAGAGTTGGCAATGCTGAAGTAAGCACTGGGAATCTGAGGGTCAGCCTTGGTAATACTAAAGTTGAATTTGCAATACTAAAGTAAGTGCTAGGAATCTGAGGGTCAGCCTTGGTAATACTAAAGTTGAATTTGCAATGCTAAAGGAAGTGCTAGGAATCTGACCTGCAATACTAAATTAGAGTTGGCAATGCTGAAGTAGGCACTGGGAATCTGAGGGTCAGCCTGGGTAATACTAAAGTTGAATTTGCAATTCTAAAGTAAGTGCTAGGAATCTGACCTGCAATACTAAATTAGAGTTCGCAATGCTGAAGTAAGCACTTGGAATCTGAGGGTCAGCCTTGGTAATACTAAAATTGAATTTGCAATGCTAAAGGAAGTCCTAGGAATCTGACCTGCAATACTAAATTAGAGTTGGCATCCTAAAGTTGAATTTGCAATACTAAAGTAAGCACTTCAAATCTGAGGGTCAGCCTTGGTAATACTAAAGTAGATTTGGCAATACTAAAGTAAGCACTGGGAATCTGAGGGTCGGCCTTGGTAATACTAAAGTAGAATTGGCAATACTAAAGTAAGCACTTGGAATCTGAGGGTCAGCCTTGGTAATACTAAAGTAGAATTGGCAATACTAGAGTAAGCACTGGGAATCTGAGGGTCAGCCTTGGTAATACTAAAGTAGAATATGCAATACTAAAGTAAGCACTGGGAATCTGAGGGTCAGCCTTGGTAATACTAAAGTAGAATTGGCAATACTAAACTAAGCACTGGGAATCTGAGGGTCAGCCTTGGTAACACTAAAGTTGAATTGGCAATACTAATACTGGGAATCTGAGGGTCAGCCTTGGTAATTTTAAAGTTGAATTTGCAATGCTAAAGTAAGTGCTAGGAATCTGGCCTGCAATACTAAATTAAGGTTGGCAATGCTGAAGTAAGCACTGGGCATCTGAGGGTCAGCCTTGGTAATACTAAAGTTGAATTTGCAATGCTAAAGTAAGTGCTAGGAATCTGGCCTGCAATACTAAATTAAGGTTGGCAATGCTGAAGTAAGCACTGGGCATCTGAGGGTCAGCCTTGGTAATACTAAAGTTGAATTTGCAATACTAAAGTAAGTCCTAGGAATCTGAGGGTCAGCCTTGGTAATACTAAAGTTGAATTTTTGCAATGCTAAAGTAAGTGCTAGGAATCTGACCTGCAACACTAAATTCGAGTTGGCAATGCTGAAGTAAGCACTGGGAATCTGAGGGTCAGCCTTGGCAATACTAAAGTTGAATTTGGAATACTAAAGTAAGTCCTAGGAATCTGAGGGTCAGCCTTGGAAAAAACAAAGTTGAATTTGCAATGCTAAAGTAAGTGCTAGGAATCTGACCTGCAATACTAAATTAGAGTTGGCAATGCTGAAGGAAGCACTGGGAATCTGAGGGTCAGCCTTGGTAATACTAAAGTTGAATTTGCAATGCTAAAGTAAGTGCTAGGAATCTGAGGGTCAGCCTGGGTAATACTAAGGTTGAATTTGCAATACTAAAGTAAGTGCTAGGAATCTGAGGGTCAGCCTTGGTAGTACTAAAGTAGAATTTTTGCAATGCTAGAGTAAGTGCTAGGAATCTGAGGGTCAGCCTTGGTAATACTAAATTAGAGTTGGCAATGCTGAAGTAAGCACTGGGAATCTGAGGGTCAGCCTTGGTAATACTAAAGTTGAATTTGCAATGCTAAAGTGAGTGCTAGGAATCTGACCTGCAGTACTAAATTAGAGTTGGCAATGCTGAAGTAAGCACTGGGAATCTGAGGGTCAGCCTTGGTAATACTAAAGTTGAATTTGCAATACTAAAGTAAGTCCTAGGAATCTGAGGGTCGGCCTTGGAAAAAACAAAGTTGAATTTGCAATGCTAAAGTAAGTGCTAGGAATCTGACCTGCAATACTAAATTAGAGTTGGCAATGCTGAAGTAAGCACTGGGAATCTGAGGGCCAGCCTTGGTAATACTAAAGTTGAATTTGCAATGCTAAAGTAAGTGCTAGGAATCTGACCTGCAATATTAAATTAGAGTTGGCAATACTAAAGTAAGCACTGGGAATCTGAGGGTCAGCCTTGGTAATCCTAAAGTTGAACTGGCAATACTAAAGTAAGCACTTGGAATCTGAGGGTCAGCCTTGGTAATACTAAAGTAGAATTGGCAATACTAAAGTAAGTACTGGGAATCTGAGGGTCGGCCTTGGTAATACTAAAGTAGAATTGGCAATACTAAAGTAAGTACTTGGAATCTGAGGGTCGGCCTTGGTAATACTAAGGTAGAATTGGCAATACTAGAGTAAGCACTGGGAATCTAAGGGTCAGCCTTGGCAATGCTAAAGTAGAATTGGCAATACTAAAGTAAGCACTGGGAATCTGAGGGTCAGCCTTGGTAATACTAAAGTAGAATTGGCAATACTAAAGTAAGTACTGGGAATCTGAAGGTCAGCCTTGGTAATACTAAAGTAGAATTGGCAATACTAAAGTAAGTACTGGGAATCTGAGGGTCAGCCTTGGTAATCCTAAAGTTGAATTGGCAATACTAAAGTAAGCACTGGGAATCTGAGGGTCAGCCTTGGTAATACTAAAGTAGAATTGGCAATACTAAAGTAAGTACTGGGAATCTGAGGGTCAGCCTTGGTAATCCGAAAGTTGAATAAGCACTGGGAATCTGAGGGTCAGCCTTGGTAATCCTAAAGTTGAATTGGCAATACTAAAGTAAGCACTGGGAATCTGAGGGTCAGCCTTGGTAATACTAAAGCAGAATTGGCAATACTAAAGTAAGCACTGGGAATCTGAGGGTCAGCCTTGGAAATACTAAAGTAGAATTGGCAATACTAAAGTAAGTACTGTCCCTCCCAGACCCCCAGGATCTCGCTTAAAGAGGGTCCCGCTGATTGGTTCCACTCCTAGACGGGGGGGGTGGTGCAAAAAGGGTCCAACATTAGTAGAGGTATGCCCCATCCACATGTGTATTGTTGTTCAAAGGTTTCTCCATCCTCCCCGGCTGGGAACCTAGTTGGTTGATGTTTATCGGTTCAACTCATTCTAGAGAGGAACCAATCCGACTGTGCCGTGTGCTTGGCAGGTGTTTGAATTGAAACAACTTGGCATGGGCGCTGTAGTAAATGGCATGAGTCTGCGACTGGGTCCCGGAAACTGTACATTCTCGGCATGGGCTCGCAAGAAGCAGACCTTCTGTCTGCGCACCCCGTGAGGGGTTGGAACCACCGAAAGAGAACTCTGAAACCCTCAAGGCACCAGCAAGAGCCGGGATGCGGACACGATATGCCAATATGCTTTCTGCTGGGCTTCTCGGCTTCTTGATGGGCCGGGCCGATTGGTGCGGAAGCTGGCAGTTCCTTGGCTGGCTCCTTTGCTTTGAGCAAAGGGACTACATAAAAAAAAGGAGGCGGGAAATTGATGCACGTGCACAGCTGTGCACAGCGAAGGTTGAAGCACCAGTGTGAGACGACCCTCCCGGGTCTTAGCTCACGTTGCACGAGGGAAAAAGCAGCCCTAGCCTGGCCCTCCATGGGATCCCAGGCCTTGCCTGCGCCAAAGCGCAGCGCCCGTGCCGCGAGGGATTCCAAAGTTTCAAACATGCACCTGGCACCGTCAGCCGAAGTGACTCGATTCCTGACTCGATTCCTGACTTGATTCGAATCAGCCGAGGAATGCTCAACATGGTTGCCCCACGGGACACATCATTCCCGCAAAGTTCAAAATCCAGAAACCCCGTTGGGGAACTGGGCGTCCAAAAGACAAGGGAAGGACCTTCTGGCTTGGCCGTACGCGACGCGCCAGCCACGAGCCCTCTCAGACTCAGGCTTGCCATATCTTTGGTAAGTGGCAAGTAAGTGGGTGCTGTTTGTCCGGCAAATGCTATCGCCTTGCCAGCAAACACAGGAGATCACGGCCCGACTTGCTCAGTCTAAACATTTTCCTGCCAGCTTTACCCAGCAAAAGCATCGATCCCTCGAAAGCAAGATGTTGAGCTTGCCAATTGCTTGGTCACTCGGTTCACGGGATCAGCGCTTCAGTCGACTCTTGCATTTCAATTGCCGCAGAAGACCCAAACAAGGCTCGCGCGTTGGGCACCTTCCTTGCCGGGGCCGCTAAGCATGGCACGTTGAAGCTCACAAGTGGAAGACCTGCAAAGTGTGAGGTGGGAGCTGGAGCTCTGCAAAGACATTGCCAGTCCAATTCAAGCAGAACCCCCCTCAGCCCAACTCACGGCACATCTTGCGCCTTGAGCTGAAAGCCAATGGTGCCGACAATGGCCGAAGTGAAGTACAAGAACTTCTGCAGGACAGCGAGGGTCACCTCGCAGCCAGAGAGCAAACCTGCGAGCCAAAAAGTTTACAAGGCCACCTCTTTCCGCCCAGGGTGCCAAGTGCACAAATCTGATCCCGAAATCTGTCGCCAGGCGGCTCGCGTGTCCCACATGAAGAAACCTCAGGCCCAAATCAGGCCACTGCAAAGTCCACGAACCCTAAAGATGGCCGGAACCGCCCCAGAACCGCAGGAATCCGGATTTTCCGGACTCTTCAAACACGTCCAGATTTCGGCCCAGCCCTTGTCCACTTGCCTTTACACCTGAAGACCAGGAAAAGAAATCTTCATGGGCGTTCGGTGAGCCCTGAGGCTGCCATGGGGGGCACCCCCAAGGCATTCTCTGGCGGAGCGGCCTGACTCGCTGAGGGTGAGGAAAAGCGAGAGGCTCATGTACTCAGCTTCCTCATGCCGCTCCACTTGCGAGACATCAACATGTGGAGCTGATTCGAAGGAATGCCCAGCAAACCAGTTGCCTGACCCCCCCCCCATTTTGATATGCCTCTTTTACGCGGCATCATTCTGGTAGAACCAGCTAGCAAACAAACTTTCCATGAAATGAAGCCGACGCGGATTGAGCTGCAGTCCTCTGGACCAATAATTCCCTGCAAGACCGAAAGAAGCATTCACATTCAAAAGTTGTTTGTAGTCAATGTGCTTACGTCCCTTCACCCAACTGGTTGATGCCAAAATCGACCGAAACTTGGTTTGGCCTCCGAAAAAAATAATTGACAAATCCTCTGCACATGAGGCGCTACTGACAAATGGATTTGTTTGGCCGCGATTTTCCGCAAAAAGGCACTCCATTTATAGCCGCCTGGCGCCCCAAGAAGACTCCGGGGCCGCCGGCCAGCTCCTCATCACCATCTAGCATACTGACCTCAGGTTACCCACCCCTTCCATCGGCTTGTCTTTGCACCGAGTGCCGCCAGTTGCAAATGGCTACAAGCTGCTAGGAGTTTCAGGATTTGGAGTACAAGTAGCTGTTAATAGCAGCTGTTGGCAGATATTTGCTCAGTGTAATTACGGGAATGCCATGCTCCTTCAAACCATGAACATACGGCTCGAACCGTGAACAGGCGGCAGGCTGCTAGGATGCCAGGATGGCTGGTTCTAGAATTGCGGATATCGACCAAGTTCTGGGTCATATCACAATACTCAAGCCGAAGATTTCAGCAATGTATAAGTCCGTTGGCCGCGGTCTGAGTGGCTCAATCAGCTGTTCAAAGAGCAGCAAAGATGAAGGTGGAGAAAACTGAATTGCTCGTGGGTTCCAGTCTTGGCAGCTGCCAGCAACAGCTACTTGAAAGTAAGGAGTGGGGGTACGCAGCCTATTAGGGCTAGAAGCTGCTCTTACATGCTATTAGCAGCTATTTGAAAGGGGGGGTCAAAAAGACTGGAGCAAACATTGTCCCACCAAAGCATTTAGCAAGGCGACGAGCTTTAGGCAAAGAAACGAGGTCCAGCCTAGCCTGTCTCGTATGCTATCGCAATTGGCACTTCCTGATCGAAACACTTTGCTTCCAAATGCAATGCGCGTGATTCGAGCCTCTCCCAAGGAGTGTTGTTACATGCGAGGCTGGAAAGTGCCAAGGACCCCTCCCTGCAAATAAGCTTCTTACACTTCAATGAAAGGGGCCCCGCCCACCCGCCTGATTAGCCAAACAAGTGTTTATGGGGCGCCTTTCTTTAAACATCCGTGCAAAACATTATCTATCTATCTACCTTTCTTAAATCTAAACTAAGTTCAATCTCTACCTCCATCTATCTACCCATCTTCTCCCCTGAAACAGAGAGGGAAACATACAAAAATGGGCGCAGTGCCGGATCTGCGGCACAGCGGCCAGCGAAGGCAATCTCGTGCAGTGGGCAGTCGCTGATGCTGCCACGTAGAGGGCTCCTGGCGAATCAAACTTGAAGGTTTCGAGATCAGCCCACAAAAGAGGAGCACAACTAGACTCCATGAAGCACCAGACGAACGAGCCGAAGGTGTGCTCCTGGGAGGGTGGCTCCCAGGGCCAAGTTGGGCAGGGCATCCTGCGCGAGGAACAAGTCGAAGCCGATAGATTGTCAAAGGAACGGACTTTTTGTGCCGAGGTGCCCAAAGTTTCCCCTGCTGCACATCAAATAGCGCCTGCACATGAATACCGGAACACGCATATAGACACACGACATAAGCAACACGCGAAGTCCAAAGAAATCCAGTATCGTCATGAAACCGCCGGGACCCAAAAGTGCATGTGCGAACCTCTCAAAATGAAATCACTGAAAGAGACCCAGGGAACCCTTCTTTGTGTCGTCACTTTCGCCGCGCCCCGAAGACGACCATGAGGGTGGTGAGGCCAAAGGCGGCAGCTGTGAGCTGGTACATGCGGGACGTCTGCCGCATACAGCTAATGACCTGCGCTCTTAACATCTCCAGTTGGCTTCAAGAAGGGAATCCGGGCAAAAGGGACAATGTTGAACAACTGGACTTGCTGGGAAGCTTGGCAAAAGGGGACCACCCCAAACTGTCCTGAGTACTGTGGTCGCTTGGTGCCCCCTTCCCTTGCATCACGCACGGGCCCCACCTCCCGCCATTTGCCACGGGCTTGCTGGCAACTGGTTTCACCTGCCAGGGCCCCTAGCCACAGCCCATACTCCACAGGCGCGAGCGCCGAGCCAGTCTGCCCCGCCTTCCAGAACGGAACGGGCGAAGGCGACGATGGTGAGGGAGATCCCCCGCCACATTGCCATGTGCAAGTAACATGCCTGGAGAGCTGTCAATCGGTGCTGGCAAAGCGAGATGACAAACACCTGGTTGTTTGCGACGCCAGCGCCACGGCAAAAACGACATGTCAGCCGGTCGCGGTTGTCGCAATGCAATTGCCGAATCGAGGAAAACTGATGTAGACGAGTCACACCAATGAGGCATGCAGATGCCAGCGCATGCAGCACGACGTGCCTCAAGACACGAACCGATCGTATCCCGCCTGAAGGAAGTGATGGCAAAAATTATGAGGGCTAGGACCAACTTAAGCTTTGTCCCAAGCCCCCAAAAATTCAACCTCCTAACTTCTCCCTTTTGCGTCGAAACTGCGCATGACCCTGCCCAACCGGCCAAGGCGCGCGATGGAGATCGAGGTGTCCAAAGTCCCGCTGTGGAGCCCCAGGGCAATTCGCATGCTCAGGGCCAGCAGCCACACCACGACAAGGGTCACCGAGTCCTTGCCTGGGACAAGTGACTCGCTTGTCCCCCGGATCCGAACGGCGCGACGGCGAAGGCGGACCAAGTTTCGACGCATCAGCCGAAAACACTCACGGTCGCAACGCTGGGGCGAGCTTTCAAGTGGGCCCGGCCTTTCTGCCGCATCCAGTAGTTGTCTAATCCGGTGCTTTCCACTTCGTGTTCAAGCAGGTCGGTCATCTGAAGCTGCATCCTGTGGATGCTGAGCTCAGACACGGTAGTTTTGTGTCTCCGAAACTGCACGGCAATTGGTTGCGCTCGAGCCTGGCACTCTTGAAGAAGGTGTAGATGCCACCACAGGACCACACGGCCATCCTGAGCGAAGTGTGCCAAGTTTCACCCAAAGGCCGCACTGCATAGTGATTAAGCCAATTGCTGACCAGGCGCAGCGCCCCGAAAGCAATCCCAGCATCCGATGCCAGCGCCACATAGCACTCCTTCGGGGCTGAGAAGAGAACGAGGGGTCCGATACCAAAAATTGCCGACGGCTAGCCTCTGACTGGGAGGCGGAAACCAACAGTTCCAGAGACGTCTCCTTTTACTCAAAAGAACACCCGCCTCGCAGAAATCGAAGTGCGTAGCTGCAGCTGCGCCAACGCAACCGAAGAGGATGAACAGAATTAAACCTGGCAAAGCCCAGTTGGCAAACCTCACGCTGCAATAGTGAGAGTGGCTCTTGTCTGCAGGGCCTCTCTTTAAGCGCTCGCTGGGCAATTCCAAATCTGCCAAGGTGCTGTGGTAGAGCTTTGAAACAACAGTGGCTCCAGGCTCCTGCTCGATCTCGGCGGTCAGGGTTTTCGCTGGTCCTGAGGCATCTGGATCCTGGGCCGGGGCTTTGGACAAACCAAAGCCACCATGCGGAATGGAAAGGTGTGGTCACGCCAAGGCCATTTTACAACCCGCCTTCCCTTTTACCGACTTTGGGGGTGGAAACCTGCGAAAGGACGAACCCTCAAGCAGGCCCACCTCTATGATGTCATGTCACACGCAGAACCCTTTCCGCCACCACGGCTCGCGCCGTTTGAGTGCCCGCCGGGTCACTGCACGGCACTGCACCAGCGGCGTCAAGCCACAGGCGCGAAGGCTGAACTCGCAAGCTGCCAGCCTCACGAAGCATCTGGGGACAAAAATCCATGCGTGTATATTTGCATCGCTGTATATCATTGGATGCATCGCTCGCAAAAGAACGGACTCCAAAGAGCCACGCTGCATCATCATCATCTCAACGTCCGTGCCAAGGGGCCAGCACCGAAGAGCCCTGGGCACCCTCGGTGGAAGGCCCTGGCAGCTCGATGCCTATTCAACATCGGCCTGAAGTTGACACGTCAATTGCCGAGTCCTCGCCTCCCAGAACTGATCCCCGCTCGAGTCCTCCACCGACTGCATGCCGATGATTTCCTGGGAAGGCAAATGGGAAGCCCTGCCGGCGCGCGCCCTTCACCGGAAATAATGCTAACCAAAAATGAACCATCTCTCTGTTTGATTCTGTTTGGCTGTGCTCTTTGACGAGGAACTCCTCCAAAAAAGGGACTTGGGCGTAAAGTCCCCGTGTAACTCATTCCCCAGGCGTCTTCACACATAGCCGTAGCCGTTTTGGCCGAGCGTCTGCAGAAAGCCGGGGGCTCCCAGGAGCAGGGGAGGACGGAATCAGCTGCGTCTCGCGGTGCCGGAACCTTGGAGCCCAGGGCTTTGAGAATTTGAAGAGCCCAACCGTCAAGCGCCTGTTGCCATGCGGCACTCAGTTTAGAGAGAGCAAAGCATCGTCGCTTTCTCGAGAAAGAGGCCGCACGCTGCCTTTGAAACCGATGCAAAGGTGCTCTGAGCCCACGGCAGGTGACTCAGCGACACCTCGCCGCCTCGGTCCGCGCCCGCGATCCGGATAGACCCGGCTGGCTCGACTGGGCCGCTACGTATACAGCCGGGCAAAAAAAGGAAAGTCGGACACACTTCTGGCATCTTCTGGCGGTTCACGGTGTGGCCTCTTCCAAAAGCCCAGGCTAGAAACATGGGGCTTGCTGAAATTGAGCGAGTTCATTGCGCTCTTGCTTTCTCTCTCGAAGTCACCGATGGGTTTTGGAGATTTCAGCCTTTTGCGTGGAGCTTGGCTTTGAACATTGCAAGGTTTTAGGACTGGAGCGTGGATGCTTCGCCCTACCTAGCCTATGCCGCAAGCATTTGACGGACGTCCATACCCTGCCATGACATGATAGAGAAAAAGCAAATCCGCAAACCCGTGCCACACTCTGGGGCACCCGAATGCTTGGCAAGTAGCTGGTGTTCAGGCCGGTGGTGATGGCAATGCTTTGGGAGCTAGTCTCTGGTCGATCTGAGTGCATGAATCAATGAATGAAGCAACAAAAACCAGTCCATTGCTGCCACAACTCTAACTTCTCCAGGGATACTCACCCAGCTGATTGCCGCTGAGCGGCTCAGAGTTCTGCCCCCAGTCTCAGTTTTCTCTCTTTTCCCATTGCCCGGCGTCGGCAGCGTCTCCTGGGACGGTGAGTGCCAAAGCCAGCAATGGATTTCACAAAATGATTCAGGACATCCCAGCACGTTTCAAGCTAAGTTCCGGAACTATCCTTTTTTTGCGGACAGGCAGCTGCTTGCGTCTTGCTTGGCGTCTGGGTGGTACTGCCAATGCTGGAATCCAGCTCTAAGACATGAGGGAGGCCTTGGCAACGACCGGGGCCAAGGAAGAATGGCGCAACCAAAACTAAGCTTGAGACAAACGATTCATCCAAGTCTTTATGAAGGTGAGAGTTGATCTGCGGGCTTGTTTTGGCAGGGTAAAACGTCGTTTCTGTCTCGCTTTCGCTACTGCTGGAACAAAAGTGACACTTCAAGGGGAAAGAGATGGAACCCTGTGAAAGCGCATGCTTATTGCACGTGTAACTTTTACAGCGCCAAGTTATGCAACAGCGAGCTCCAGGCCAGCTCCGCCCCAAGCAGTTCAATCTAGTGAGTAGCAGGAGAAGGGCACGATCCGAAGGCCAGCAGCATTCTGAAGCCAAGTTGCTGCTTGGCTGATTAGCGGTGGCGCCCACGGAGTTAATCATTGACCTCGGGTCTTGCAGGACTTGTATCAGAAGGCATGGCAGCAAACCACTTGCTCGACGACCAAACGCTGGGTTTACCAAAGTCACATCCTCAAAAATACCTTCCCATAAAAACAATTTCCAGAACAAAGCAAAAGCTAATCCCCCCCTCCCCTGCCCACCCCATCCAAAGTCACATCCTCAAAAATACCTTCCCATAAAAACAATTTCCAGAACAAAGCAAAAGCTAATCCCCCCCTCCCCTGCCCACCCCATCCCCGGAAAAGCGCCGGGTGCGTCAAGGCTGCGAGGAAAATGTCAGCTCCTTCATGCTGGGAGCTTTGGGTTTCCTTGGGCGCGCGGGCCCAGGAAAGGACATGAGTGTTTCCGTTTGCTGCTCGAGAAGACTTGGGTCTCCCCTCCTGACAGCCTCATTTCTCATCCGTCATTTCCTCGTTTCTAACAACGCTCGTCTGGAAACGCGGACGCAGCATGGCCGCGAGGACTTGGTCTTTCACAAGTCGGGCAAGTGGAATGGGATCCCTCGCTCACCGGACGGCGACTGAAGACTTCGAGTGGAAGAAATACATGAGGATGTCGTCTGCTACAAGGGGGCTCGAGGAACCTGCTGTTCAGTGCCCGGCATTGCCCACCGGGCACAAAGGGAATTGTGCCACAAACAAACCGAAGGACCCGTTTTCTGGCAAGACCGCGGTTGTCGTGGCGCAAGGCCAATAATTTCTGTCTGCCTTCTGCTGGCGCTTGTGACAAGGACGTAACAACTGCCTTATAGTCTGAACAGCTGGCACAAGATGTGAGGCCCTGAAAATTCCCGAAAGAACGAGAAAGACACCTGCCGCATTCACAAACGACTGCCCCTTGACAATGCAAGATTACCACATAGAATAGACCCTAGACCAAGCAGCTGCATCCAGAAGGAATCCTCCGAGCTGGGGGAGTCGTAAGCAATTAAAGTTCCATATATATATATATATATATATATATATATTCCATATATATATATACATAGATATATATATATATATCGTCTATTGCCCAGATGACACGCACCGAATTGCACAGCGCGCTGTAGCTGAAGAACAACACTAGCATGTGAAAGCGGTCAGGGCAACCTCGCCTTTTGGAAAGAAATCAGCATACGGCCATGTTTTGTCTAGCGCGGTCATTTGCTTGCAGCGCGGACACTGACACGCGTCATCATGACTACAAAGCCCGAAAAATGGACATTGCAGTCACCAAGCACGTAAACTGGGGACTTAGAAGCAGTGACATGGAAGGGGGGGGGCGCGTGCTGCAAAGCAGCTTTCCATGTCTCTGCGTCACCCTTCCCCAGCGGGCGATGAGTTCAATCAGCCAGAGCACACACAAGCCCCCCCCCCTCCATGAGCTGCATCCCTGAGTTTGAGGGGCACCCCGAACTGCGCAGCAAAGCGGGGCAACACGCAGGAAATAGCCACGCGACGCATGCCGGCCACCACACCCCAAATGCACAAAAAAATAACCCAAAAAAAAAAACAAGACAACTGCGCAGCAACAACGACAACAGCAGATCTGTTGAATGCACATCCTCAAAGATACCTTCTAAACTGGTGGTTTGAAAGCAAACCATCCCAAAAGTAATTTCCATAACAATGCAAACTCCAACCCTCCCCCCCCATAAAGCGCTGTGTGCGTCAAGGCTGCGTGGTAAAAGTCAGCTCTTTCACGCTAGCAGCTTTGACCTTCCTGAATCGCACAGCTCGACATAGATGCTTCCAGTTGCTGAACATTGGAAAACCACTCAAAGGTGTTAAAAATGTTGGTCAAAAGGAGGTCCCTGGCACAAATGTGGGACCTCCCATCCCCTCGTTCCCTTGGGGTCAGATCTGATCAGCTTGCGAACTGCCCCAGCCAAGTGCCGGCCAAGCATCCTTTTTGGGAGGGCCACCTGGTCGCTCTCCCTGCTCACCTGACGAGCAAAGTCCTGCCCATACGGCGGTGCTGTGATGCGCCATTTCAACGGGCCAGCTTTGCTGGGAATCCTTACCATGGGCGGACTCCAGGGTTTTGAGGGGTCTTTTGGGTGGCCTGCAACGCTTACGTCCACCGCTTGGCCCAGGTCCTTGTTCCTCGGAGACGAGGGCGCATCCTCGCATTGAACATGAGCCATAGGCAATCCCAAACGGTCACCATTGATTCATAGGACCCTTGAAAAAACAAGTTGGAACACATATGAACCAAACCAAAAGGGCTCCCTTCAAGCGCGTCTCTTTCTGTTCCAGCCCATGCACCAACCCCTCGAAGCCAAAGCCCCCAAGGCGTAAATTAGCCGCTCCCCGTGAAAAGCGCAATGTTTTTTTTTGGGTCTTTGAAAGCTGCACACGTCACACGCAAACGAGTTCAGAGCATGCCAAGCAAAGGCCATTCCGTACGGCCAAGGCGCTAAGTTCTTGTCCAGCGAGCCTGAGCAATCCCGGGCCCCATGTTCATTACCTGCGGTCCAACGGTCCCAAACACGCCTCCCAGGGTTGCCCTGCCCGATACATCGAAAGCAGTGCCCGCCTGCACAAGAAGCGCTATGTCTCCATGCTGGGCCTGCACAAGGTTCCCAGCGAGTCAATGTTGAGACAACATCAAGGAATGTGTATATGCATATGTCGATGTCTATGTATATGTATGTATTTAAATAAGTACATGTATATGTGTCTGTATCTAAACGTGTTTTTGCATATGTAGACGTCTCTGTCTATGTATATGTCTATGTGCTTTGTATGCCTATTTGTATATATGCGTGCATGTGAACATGAATTTACGTACAAATGTGTATATATATATATATGTGTGTGTGTGTGTGTGTGGTTGTCTGTGCATGTTGTGTACGACATATTCTTGATAAGGTCATGGACATAAGGCATAATTAGCTAGTTCCTGGTGGTAGCTGTCCCAGCTGCACAAGCCAGGCCGAAAGTGCAGGGCGACATGCGCATTCGACCCCGTCCAAACATGTGGGACATGGACGATGCCGGGCGCAAAGTGGGGCCAACATGCGTTGTCCAGCATCTGCACAGAGTATCAACACGCCCGTAAGAAACCCCCAGCATCGAAAGGCCCAGAACCATGCTAGCTTGCAGCAACCATACAAGCGACGCGCCGACGTACCGACAAGCCGACAGACCGACTTCGAGCCTGCTTCATTGTTGCGACGCTTGGCAGCCCTTGGCAGCCGCCAAAGTCAGGCTCAAAGCAATGAAGCTCGATCTCTCTTGTGGCGAGTGGCTTCATCACCCGAAGGCCTAACTTCAGGTCGATGTCATTAAAGTCTGCCGCATTGTTGGAATCACCTCACGGACTTATGGGCTTCCCCCAGCCGATCACAATGCAACGTGTAGCTGACCGGTTCTGGCAGCCAAGGGGCTGGGTGTGTCATTCTTGGACATCTTCTTCGAGACCATGGACATCTGCGCTTCAAGGCTGGAACATGGTGCGAATTTCTGAAAAATTCATGGATACCCCACGTGCGAGTCTCCTTTTGTCCTGTCACCATGGGTACCTGCAAAAACATCCCTGCAAAGAGTTTCAGCATGCCATCAGACAGTCGGGGATGTCTGTGGGGGAAAAGCTCCTGGAAGATGCGGTTTCTCTTACACCCTAGATGGGGCGCAGGGAAGGTTGCAATGCGAATGTGCAAGTCACCCGACATGAAAACCGGCGAAAACAGGGAGGCTGCACAGTGCTGAGGTTCGATGCGTGCTCAAAGTGGAAAGAAGGAAAAGGCATCGAAATCTGGATCACAATCACCACAGCAAACGTCGCTCATCACTTGCCGCCAGCCTTGCGACGCAAATTCTTGTCAGCTTTCTCTTTCTCTGGGACAAGCTGGCTCAGCTTCTCATCTATGCTGTTCAGCCTCACAGGATTTCCAAACATCAAAGCGAGCCCGGATTATATCGAAGGTATTCCCTAGCTTCCCCTAGAAAACAACCTGCATCATGTGGCTCCTGTCACTTCCCGAAACTTGTGCCGACATCACATGAGCTCCGCGATGCCCTGACCCGCTCCTGCACTCGAGGCGATCTCTATCCAAGACCTGATCTCTGAATAATTTCAGGAGGATGGACAGCTTTTGCCTGGCTTTCGGCAAGACAAACTCCATCGTTTCACTCCATCAAGAAACGCGCAAGACATGTGGACTTCTTGCGTGCAGCGTTGCTCTAACGCGTTTTGCTCAGGTTCAGATCTCATAGATCCTTGGATGCAGCAAACGCTGTCCTTTTCTGGGGGGAGGGGGGAGGGGGTCTTGATGATGTAGAAATCCCTTCCAAATACTGGGTGAGAAAGCAATCTTCGAGGAAGGAAGGCTACCTTTCACAAGAAGCACAACTCTGTCATTGCGGTGTAGATGGCAAGGGGTCGCCCACGGATCTCTCCTTCCTCCACGCTACTCTCGTCTCTGAGGTTGCTGCGGAAACCGCCCATTGACATGCTGTGATCTCCATCTTCCACACCCTGCAACCTGCAGGCCAAACACGCCGGAAGAGACCACCCCTATCAATGAAATAGAAGGCAATTTCCCTTGACACTGCAAGCCAACCAACGCATTTCTAACTCCATCATTCTTTTTAGGCTAGGCGCAGCATGAAGTGCCAGCGTGGGCCGTTTGGTAACAGCTCAAACGCTTGGCACACCCGAGCCGAGCACCCGCACACGATCCCGCCTTCCCATGCAGTCGATGCTGTCCGCTCGGGAAGGCGATGAAACAATGGAATCCAGTCTTTCCGCAAATCCTTGCAGCATGAAAGAAACAAAACACATTGCATGACACCTCAAACTTACAGGACCTTCAACTCCCTTCGTGCTCTCAACAGCGGTCGGCCTGGCGCATCATAGCTGGATTGCTGGCTCATGGCTACGCTATGCTACGCTATGCTACGCCACCCTATGCTATGCTATGCTACGCTATGCTACGCTATGCTGCACTAGTGGCTGGAGCCAAACCAGCCCCAACTTGCAGAACTTTGCTTTGTCTTCTGGCTGAGGGCAGTTTCTTTGTGCGATGCTTGCGTGCCTTTGAGCCACACTGTCGGATGCTGGAGGTCGGAGCTTGCGTGGGGCCTCGCTTCTTGCTGGCAAGTATAAGATACAGTACTAATTCAGCTCTTGCTTTTACCCTGCAAGTCATGCCCATGCGACCCTGTGGCACTTTTTGAGAAACCGATGGCGCTGGTGGTTTGGTTGCGCCGCCCCCCCAGAATACCTGCAGTGCACCTTTTGTGAGCACGATTGTTTGTTTCCTGCCGATCACGCTGAGGGGGTGATTCTTGAGCCAAACGCCTCTTTGGCGGCTGCTCATTCCACTCCTCCGTATAGGTGGACCCCAGTAGGACACACAAGAGCCTCTTGAACATGATCGATCGCCAGGTCAAGGCAAGGCTGCTGATCAGCGATCCCGGACAAGAGGGGATGACCTAAGAGTAAGGCTAGATCTACCTCCAAGCCCACTACTTCGAGGACACAACCACTCTCCTGGAAAGAAGAGCGTTCCATGTCAATTTCGCTTCTTCCGTGGGAAACTCACCATAGTCACCAAAAGAACGCCAGAAGTCGCTTGCGCTTCTTTGTTCGATACCACGTTGCCATGCTATGTCTTGATCTCCTCAGATCGTGCGATCCCACCTCTTCTTCAAGGCGTCTTCTTGCAGCGATCTCCACTCTGGCCCGAGTTATGGCGGCGACAGCCTGATGTAGCGATGCACCTTCGTGCTTCTTGGCAGGTGGCATTTGGGCATTTGGGCATTCCTTACTCTTAGCTGTTCGGTCGCAAGATCAGATTCGTCCTTCGTTCTCCCATGAACATATGCAACTTGAGCCTCGGGCGCGTGACTCATTCCCTCCAAAATCGGTAATCCTCTGAATGCAACCTGCCTCATTGGTCCGTAGTGCTTGGATTGTACATTCCATGGTGGCACATTCACTCTGCGTGAATGTGCAAAGATCGAATTTCTGCTTCATTCACGCGCCGTTCCGTCTTCGCTTTTGCGCTGGCGCAATTCTTCTTCGAGTTGTTCATCCGCATTCCCAGAACCGTCCGCTGGATCCTCGGGGATGATGACCTGTCCCAATTGCGGGATTTGCGGGCTTGTGCCCTGTCGCCATCGTTGTCAGATGGCGCCCGGGGGCGCGACGGTGTTCTTGCTCTCAGAGTCTGGTCCGCATCAGGCACTGATCATAACGGTATCTCCACTCCCACGCCCTGTCGATTCAAGAGTGCCCTGCGAAACGCCGATAGCAGGCGCAGCCGTCGATCCGGCACATGTAACTGAAGAATGACCATCGGACATTGTCACTAAAAGTGCGGCCCCGAACGATTGAATGACGGTGGGGGCCCCTCTCGTCCTTACTGACATAACGTCACACAGCTTGTGGGAGACCCCTACGGTTGATAACCTAAGAAACCGAGGGTATTTTGATTTATACCGAATACCTGCGGTGCACCTTAGTGAAATGCCGAAAGCCCTCTGCGAGCACGATTGTTTTTGCTGATACTGCCGATTCACGCCGAAGGGCCAAACGCCACAGTAGGGTGGCGAGGCTTTGGATTGCAACACTATTCACACTTTTTCCTGTCACACAGGGAACTTGTGTGAGACTAAAAACTGCAGCACCAGGCGTACCTGCAGTCTCAATGTGAAGGTGCCGTAGCGGAACCTGGACTGCTTCAGCAGGCGCTCGCCGAACGGCAATCGCCTCAAATGCTGCGCCAACCGCACATAAGCAACCGTCCAGCTGTTGGCTGGAGGGCTTTGAGCGGCAAAGTCACTAGCAAACTCAGCAGCCCAGGCTTGTTCCCCTACACTTGCTTTGAAAGTCAGCGCAAACATGCGATGGCTATGTGCGCCCAGCGGCTGTCCGACCTGCTGCGCTTCAGCTGGTCATGGACATCGCCACACTGAAGCAAATGCACATCTTGACATGAGAAATGGTCGAAACTCAAGGTGGAATCCCGGCAGTGGGTTCACACAGTCTGAATATCCAGGCTCAATCTGAAGTTGGGCCAGTTGCGTCTGCCATGGCGCAGGATTGCGCTGGGCAGCTGCAACCGTTATACAAAGTTGAAAGTATAGCTCACAAAGTGTACACTCCAACCTTCAAAAAATAAAGCCTGCGGAACATTAACCGTGGACAATGCAGGGCTTCTCGACACCCTTGAGCTGAAGGCCAGTGCGAAGAGACGATATCTCTCCCTCTCTCTCTCTCTCTCTCTCTCTCTCTCTCTCTGCATGCTCCCTACACATCATGTCGGCCAGCCCACAGCTCTTCCAGTCAACACCCCGCGCACTTTTCACACCCCAAACCGGCCCTTCGGCCGTCGCCACTTTGCCGGCCGTGAAGCAAACTGAGAACTTGTGCTCGGCACCTGAGGCTGGTACACTGCCCAACCCGGACGCACCAAAAGCTTGCACCGTTGGCGTTTCTGGGCCAAGATCCAGCGAATGGGTATTCTGGAAAGTTGCAAAGGATTCCAGGCCTGTGCGTTTAAACCGGTTTTGCCTTTCCGGTCGTTGCAGCCCAACCCCCCACACACTGCGCAAGGGTGCCGAAAGCCCTGGACGCAACCTTGTCTGTTCAAGCAGCCTACCACGGCTCACCTTGTGAGTGGGTCAGTCACAGGGGCCTCTTGCTGCCCAAATAATCGAATGATCGTCGGAGGTGCAGTCCGAGCTCCACACCGCGTGGTTTGGCTTCAAGCTCTCTGCATCCAGGGACGTCGTCTGCTGAATCAGCGCCTGTGATGCAAGCTTACGCTATACTGTACTGCCTGAATGTTTCAGCGAAGCAATGAGACAATCAACATGACGCAAACAAGCAAACAAACAAACAAACAAACCACGCTCTCGCATCTGCGGTTGCTTTTTGTCAAAGAGGTAGGTGATGGTAGGTGGTTCTTTTCTAACGTCACTTGGCAGGCTTGCCAGCCAAGACGCGGAAAGCTGGTCGCAGGGCTTCACAGGCGCTGGTGCGGTTGCTGTGCGACCTGCACCGGCCAACTTGCACCATATGAGGTAGGAAAGCAAAGAGCAAGTCCAAGTAGGCAGGTCATTCTGATTCCGCGCGGACAAGCTTCGACATTATGTGGGTGGACCAATGTTTCCAAGTAAAAGCTAGCTTGGTCCCGCCGAAGCCTGGGTGAAGCCAAAAAGCAATGCTTTCTGGTGTGCTTGGGTAAGCGGAGCCAAGAAGCCCAACTCCTCAAAGGTGCAATCATCCCCAGCGTCGATTTCATCCAGCACAGATTCCAAGCTCCTGCGTTCCGCGAGCAACATCATTTCCACACCTCATCCCGCCCCCTGACAGGGCCAAACTTCTGAAATTGTAACTTATATGTTCGAAGCTGCGTTGCTCGCCCACTTAGAATCGTCTGGGACCTTCCAGCTGAGGGGAACCAAATCTTGGATTTTGCCAAGCTGATGACCCACCGTAGTATTATAAATGGTCCGTTTGGGCGGCCACCCCTGTCTTTCTCGGCCATAGAAAAGGCAGGCAGTGGCGATCATGTCTCCACGCCTGTGAACTGGTGTTGTTTCTCCAAAAAAGCTTAACTTACAACCCGCTGTTTCCTGCAAGTGGCCCTGGCTCGGCGACCAATTCGCGTCCAAGTGGCGGGCACGGCTCGGGCTCCTTGTGCCGCGTCTCCTTGCTCTCCATGCCTTCAGCTTGGCCTGCGTGCTTCCGCAGATGGAAATGCAGATTCGCCAGCATGGCGCTGCCCGCCGGCGCCGGTTGCGCCGCCGGCACTGGCGCTGGCGCTGGTGGCGCGGGGGGAACCCAAGGAGCTGTCACCGCGGGGTATCCCGGCGCTTCCCACCTGACTCTCACAAGCCGCTTTCACATGTCCATTGGATGGGCAATCGTCTTGCACTCATGCTCTCCGCATGTAATCACCGAAAAACTCTTTGGGGAATTTTCAACCAATGAAACTATCAGTCCACCTCTTTCCCAGCTCGGGCTTGTCCGCGCTCTGCTCCGCCATCATCTTTTCCAAGGCGGCCATGTGCGCATCGAGGCGCCGGGCCGCTTGCGCCTGTTTCTCTGAAGTCTTCGCGCTCTTGGCCGAGGTCTTTGCAGCCGGAGCGGGATCTTCTGTTTTCTTGGGCACCTCCGCTACCATCTGGCTGAACGCCTGCCGGCTGTTGAAAGAAGGTCCAGCCAACTATATTCATGACTGGCCCATGATTCATGAATGGGCGAGGCGGCCCCTCAATGCAGCATAGTTTGGAAGCAAAGAAGAAGAAAAAAAACAGTTAGCTCTGCCGGGTACTCGAGATACACATACGCACACACAAACACACAAGCAATCAAGAGCAAGGAGGAAGGCAAAGCAAAGTCCACAAGCAAAGCAATAAGCCAAAAAGCGTAAATAAGCCAAAAAGCCTAAGCGAAGTACAAGCAAAACCGAAAGCAATGCAAGCCAACGGAGTCCAAAAGGAGTTGTTGAAAAGGCAAAACCGGCTGTGACAGCTGACGGACTCGACAAACACCGCCGGCAAAATGATATTCCTTTCAGGTAGCGAGACTAGCGCCTACTGGCAATCATGGGCAACAAGCAGGCCTTTTTTGGTTCGCGCGGCCGATGTGAAGGATGTTGGCCAGCATGTTGGGCCTGGACACTCCATGCTACAATCGACCGCCCTGGGGGCCCAGACCTGTGTGCCAGCGCCCTGGCAAACAGCGCAGCTCTGGCTGTCGACGCCGGCGCACATCCAACACAAATCCATGGCATGGGCCAAACAACGGCAACAATGGCAACAGTTGCATTCAGTGCTTGGAACGTCTTTCTCGTCAAGGGGCGTTTGTCACCTTGACGATGGGGGAGAAGAGGGTCAACATGCAGTGATACCCGGGTATCTTTGCACGCAGACTGCAAGTCGACGGATGTCTTGAATGCTTGTGCCCATTCTTCTGTAATCCAGTGCGCGCTGCTTGAACAATGCCATTTGCATTCTGACATTCACAAACTCAAGCAACCTCTGCAACAACACGTTTCTTGGCCTGGCCCAGCCTGTCTTACTTGTGGATGGTTGGATACTACGCCCACATGATAGTCCAAAATGGGGCAACTTGGGATTTGTAGGGTTTTTTTCCAAACGCCTCTTTTACGACTGCCGGAGGGTGAAACGAACGAACCAGCCACGGAAACCCAAGCTACGCGGCACCGCTACTGGGACCAGCACACATCGGCCAGCACGTCGCCAAAAGGCGGCACGTGGCATGCGTCACCGCCAGGCCCCCCGGGGGGGAGCTCGAGCAGGCTCGCGCCAAATGCGCCTTGGGCGGCGATCGCGAGCAGTTGGCCCCAGCGGCGTGTGAACGCCCCGGCCGCAGCCGTGCGCTGGCTGGCTGGGCCGGCAGCGGCTTTTCCACGCGCCAAGCGGGCGAGGAAATCCTCAGTCTCTGCCGACCACCGCCCGCCCAGCTCCAGGCCAAGCACGGCAAACCGGCACCGGCTGGCAGTGGCGAGCTCCGGGTAGGTTGTCCGCCGCTTCCTCTCCTCAGCTTCGCGGAGGGCTTTGCCAGGCTCGACGTCATTGCCGGGCCGGCTAACTCCGTTCCGTTGCACAGGAGATACCAGCGTGACATCAACGGCGACCTGGGAGCCGCCAAAAGCCGGCAGGCCATTTGCGATGACCTCTATCTGGGGCCCATCGCACAGCGGCACATCGAGGTTGAGGTCGCGGAGGAAGACATCGGTCGCGACACGCGCCCCGGCCTCGCGGCAGACGCGAGCCGCGGCACGCTCGAGGGGGAACGAGGGCCGCTTCAGCACTCCTGGTCGCCGAGGACGTCCAGCGGCTCCCCGCACCGACAATGCCGGGGGGCCGCAGGCAGCAATCGCAGGCTATGAAGGAGGAGCGTGCAAAAAAAGGCATCTGTGAGCCGGAACTCTTCCCGGGATGGTGGTGAAAGCAACGCTGCCTCCTTGCCCAGCTTGCGACAACATCAAGGCCGAGACGCTGGATCAAGTTCACGGAATAGCGTCTCAAGGGCTCTGTGGTCGATGACTGTGCAGGCTGCACGCTGCCATCCCCTGGCCATGTCGCCCCACTCGCGTGGGTGCTCTTCGAGCGCCGACCCATCTGCAAGGGCGAGCCAGTCCGGCACCACAAAGCCGGCGTCCTGCAGGGCAGCGGCGGCAGCGCGCGCAGCCGCAACGGCCGGCCGGGCCGGGCCCCAAGAGCAGGGGATGTCGCTTGCCTATCACGGGGAGTGTGTCGGCCCAGGATGCCCAATGTGCGGCATGGGCGGTCGTAGCGGCTGGTCTCAAACCCAAGCCGCAAAAGCGAAGAGGCAATTGAGCCCTCCGGGCGCTGTAGGACCCCTGTCGCGTAATTGCACCGAGGGTACGCGCAGAGGAGCAGCAGGCGCCACGCGGCCTGGACGCTTGGCACTTGCGGGATACGTTGGAGGAGGTCTTCATGGCGAGCACGCAGCCCGCTTAAATGCTGCTGGACGAACTCGTCCCGCCCATGCCTAGGATGACCAGGCCTTGACTGGCCGGCGGCAAGGCCTGATCGCCTGTCCAAGCATCTAGGAGGGATTGCGGTGGCTCGCCAGCGGCGTTCCAGACCCTGGTTTTGCCGAGGTTGACTCGGATGTTTGCTTGCTCGTGCAGCCCCTGTCCGAGCGCGGCAAAAGCCGGGCCAACCCGGGCTGCTGTCGGGTAAGTGACGTAAACATCGTCGAGAAAGGCAAACAAGTCTTCGCCCGGCTCTAGAGCGCTTTGTGCTTGCAGCAAGGCGCCGTGCTGCCCCAGGGCAAAGAGGGCTGGCATGAGTGGATCGCCCTGCTCCCCGCCTTCAGTTTGCACAACTTCATGCGGCTGCCCGTCGGCATCGTCCCAGACTGCAGCATGCAAAAGCGGGAGATATGGTCATACGCGCCAATGCCGTCGATGCTCAGAGCGTGACAGCTCGCACTGCCCTAGCGAGCGCCTCAGCGCCCGCCCGCGCCGAGAGCGCATACTGGAACGGCGCGCAGTTGGCGCTAAACACGGCGACGAATTGCTGTGCCAGCGTTCGTGCGACTAGGCGTTGCAGGACATCCCCGATGACCAAACCTCGCACACCGCCGTCAGGCTTGCGGAGGCCAACTATCAGCCCCAAACGCAAGGCAGCGAGCACCGGCGGCCGCGTAGAGGAGATCAGTATCCGTTTCTTCATGAAGGAGGACACGGATGTGCTCAACCGGGCACCCTGACACGTTCTGAAGAAACCTTGCTTTGTTCAGGCTGAGGGGCTCAGCTGGCTGCAGGTGCTCAGGCACTGGGACTTGCTGCTCCTGGGGCCGGCGCGCTGGGTCCCGCAAGGCCGTGAGCGTGTCAGCGTTGGCCGGGGCCAGCGGCGCGGCGGTGAGCTCGCCCAAATGCGCCAACGCAAGGGCGCGCTCAGCTCGGCGGAGCGTTTCATCATCTGCGCCTGCCTCACGTCGGGCCTGGTTTCTGCCAGGCCTGGTCCTGGTGGCGGGTGCGGCTTGCGCTGCTGCGGCCGACTCGTCGAGGAGTTGTCGGCACCGACCCTCCGCGGCAAGCTGGGGTCGGCGCGCAAGCTCCTCTGGCACGAGGTGTGTCTCGCCCCGCCGGCGGTAGAGCAACATTCTGGGCACCCCGTCCACCTGGGTCTGGCACTGGCCGCGCACTAGCGGCAACTTCCGCGACCCCGCGGCGTGCGCGCGGGCGCGGCGGCGGCGCCGGGGTCCTGTCCGCGCGACCGCCTCCATCACCGCATCTTCCGGATGGTCGCGCTCCGCTCTTGTTGTGCAAGGGGCGGGCTGGCGTCGCGGGGCCTCGTGCCGGTTGGGCTTCGCGGACCAGCTGGCTGTGGCCAGGCCTGCGCCCCTTTGGGCGTCCAGAGGCGGTCCGGGTTGCGAGGCTTCGCCCTCGGGTGGTGCATGGCGCGTCTCCCAAGCCAGTTGCGGCCAGCGGTTGGTTGCGAGCATGCTGCGAATGCGCGCGCGGATTTCGGCGAAGGTCGACGCCGGTTTGCACTGGCAAGGCCCACAGAGCACACTGCCTGGGTGAGTGGCAAGGCGGTGGGCGCCGCAGTGACCGCGTCTTGCGACCCGGGCTCTGGCGCGGCCCAATGATCCTGGCCACGCGCGGCTGGCCTTTCGAGGCGTCGCTGGCTGCAAGGAGGGCTGGCGGGAGCGCTGCCGCAGGTCGGCGGAGGCAGCAACCCTCGGCGGCCTCGCCGAGGGGAGAATCGGGACGCAGCTCGCCTGGCAAAGGCGGGCCACCGCCTCCCGAATATCACTGCTCTGCGGGGCTGCCGGGAAGTGGGCGCCGCTCTGGCCGCGCCGACCGTCTGGCGGTGGTTCCGCTCAGTGGTGCTGCCCTGCGGGTGGTGCCGGCGGGCTGGGCAGGGAAGCGCACTGCTTCCTGCGGCAGCCCGCAAAGTAGTTTTTTTTCTCACACGCCTTTTTGCACCAGCACGAATCGAGCCTCCCGAAACCACCAGGGGCGCTCACGCTGTTTTTTTTGGAGGCCAGCGTCCTCACCTGCCCAAGCGGCTGGCAAGGGGCGGGGGGGCGGCGGCCTCCGCAAGGAGCTCACTGAGTGGCGGAGCGTTGCCGTCACAGTTGGACTGGCCAGGTGAAACAGAGCCAGGGAGGAGGGACTCCGCGAAGGCCTGGTGGGCGGCAGACGCGAGCAAGGCGGACCAACGGGCAACGAAAGTGGAGACGACTGAAGGCTGAAGGAGGGCCGGCGTGGAGCGAGCTCGCGCACGAGCAAGGTTGCGGAGGAAGCTGCACGCTTCAGGGCTCCACCGGCCCCCGACCTCAATGGCAAGCACGACAAGGCGGCACCGCTGGTAGCGCAGCAGCTCCGGGTAGGTGCGCTCCTTCCGGCGGCGGGCCTCGCAAGGCGGCCCCGTCAACGCGGCCAGCGTGCCTGCGGGGCTCGCCGGAAGAGGAGAGAGGCGAGACCAACGTGGTATCGACCGCTACCTGAGCTCCATTCCAAAGAACCTCCAGGCGCCGGTCATCGAGGCGGTCGACCGGGAGGTTCATGTCCGCAAGGCATGAGTTGACCGTGACTCGAGCGCCCGCCTCGCGGCAGACCCGAGCAGCGACTCGCTCGAGAGGGCAACCGCGGCTCCGCAACAACCCAGCCCGGGCGCACGCTGCGCGATGGTCGCTAAAAGGGTCGAGGCGGCGACGGCACCGGCAAGCGCGATCGGGGATGGAGTCGGAGCCGCCGAAGGGCGAGCGTACGGAACAAGTACAAAGGGACCGACAACTGAGGGGAGACCGGAAGGACAGTGAAGATCCGACCAGCAAACGGGCCCTGCTGCGACACAAGCAAGCAACTGTAAGAGCGGTCAAGCTGGGTGTGCACATGTGCGGACAAGCTGTCCTCAACAACAGCGGTGGCCTGACGCTGCCACCCACGGGCGGGATCTCCAAGCAAGGAGCGGGCTCGGCCCGGCCAAAACTTCATGCCAAGTGGGGGGACCCCAGGAGGGAGAGGACAAGCTGGCGACGGCCGCAGCCTGCAAGCACAAGGCGGGGCTGACGCCAGCTTCGAGGTGGGGAAGGGCTACCTCGAGCAACGCAGGGAGCTGGCGTTGGAAAACGGGCAAATTATCAGCCCAGGAAGCCCAGTAAGCGGCGGGGGCTGAAGTAACAGCAGAACGCAGGCCGAAACCCCCCAGGCGCAAGGGAAGCTGCGTGACACGCTGGAGCAACCGAAGCACATGGTTGCAGCGAGGGGACGCGCAGAACAGCAACAGCAGCCACGAAGCCTGCAA